AATATCAGGACTTCTTTCTGATGACGTCAGCAACTACACCCAAACAATGTTCCGGAAGACCTCGGACACTTGGACAAGCCCCCAAGACCGACCGCATACCAGCGGCTAACCAAGTGTTCAAGCTTTTGCTAAAGATATCGGAACTCCTTGCGGATGACGTCAGCATGGGGGGCTCTGGCTGGCGCTTTGCGTCTTGACGGACTGCTGCAACCCTCAATCAAGCAAGTGCTCACCTCCAGCTCCGAGCAAGAGCACGAAGATCTCTTCTCGGGTATGACCATTTAGAGCATAGCCATACAGCTTCCGAACGTAGTCCACCAGCTCAGAGTCGTGGTTGAAGATGTCGCCTAGAAAAGCATCAACGAGCGGAGCTGGGTACTCGATCCCCTGCAGGAAGAAACAAGCTGCTTCTTATGATGCGAACACTCCAGCTTCTTGCATGTTGCATTAGCGAACAAAGAAAAGACTCCAATGCCAACGAAAGTAGATAAATTCTAAAAGACAACGTGCGACATAGCAAAGCAGTATTGGCAATTCAGGATGCTAATCAATTCTGCAGACGAAGTGTCAATTGCTGCACCCACAAGACAACAGAGACAATTGCAGCGAACCTGCTTGGCACTACAAAGAGTAGCTACTCAAGCCTTGTCGCATGCTTTGTCAAGGGCTTGGTTGTCGATCCAAGCAAAAGTGGGGCTTACCATGAAGTCCGTCTCTGCAATCTTTGAGCACATGTACTCGGGCCTGTGCGCATCGAGCATGCCCGTTCTCAGAAGGAGCACGCCATTTCTGACGTTCAGAATATCCGGGTTTGCATCCAGCTGTTGGACGAAATCGGGGACAAACAGCTCACCCCGGACGAGTTCCAGGGTACTGCCCATCTCTCGGCTATTGTTGTACGTGCGCAGGCGCTTCAGCTGCTGTTTCAGCGCCTCCCGCTATTCCTCATCCGGGGTTGCCTCAATCGTTGCACTCAACTCGTCCCTCACTCGCTTGTAGACGATCCTCAGCTGATTGATGAGAACGGTTTTCACGAAGAATGCACTCTTCTCATCAGCTACAAAGCGCCGCCCGTTCCAATAGTGCCAGCACACACCATCAAAGCCTAATCTGCAAAAACCAATAGACAAAGAGAGATGGATGTCGGCTGTCCAAGTGTCCAAGTTTTTTTCAAAGACAATTCCGGACTCCTTTCTGCTGACGTCAGCAACTATAACCACACAATCTTCCGCCCGAACTTTGGACAAGTGGACGAACCCCAAGACCAAACTCGTGCATACCGTTGGGTGTCCAAATAGCTGAGCTTTTACCAAAGACTCTCGACTCCTTCCCTGATGACGTCAGCAATTACAACCACACAAAATCTTCCGCTAGACCTTGGACACTTGGACAAACCTCAAGACCAAGTGCATACTGTCGGCTGTCCACAAGTCCGAGCTTTTACTAGAGACTTTAGACTCTTTTCTAATGACGTCAGCAATTGTAACAACACAATCTTCCGCCAGACCTTGGACACGTGGACGAACCCCAAGACCGAACTCGTGCATACCGTTGGGTGTCCATATGTCTAAGCTTTCACCAAAGACTTCTGACTCCTTCTCTGATGACGTCAGCAACTACGACCACACAATCTTCCGCCAGTGCTTGAACGATTGGACACATTCTTCGACCCGGGCTGTTGTCAGTGGCAGCACGACCCAATGGTCAAGTCAGGTTACTCTTGACTGGTCAAGCGTCCAAAACGGTCAATAAGAAAAGAAGGAAACACAATAACTACTGAAGAATAACGCAACTCGGTTGACATGATCCTCACCTGCCGCAGCTTGCGTACATCTCAGCAACAATCTTGCTGCCGCCGACATCGCCCTCAAAAGCCCAGTGATCCACGAAGCTCTTGTGCAGGGCGTTTATTGCAGTGACGTCGTCGGCACAAAAAGCTTGGGTCTCGCCGCCGGCCATGGCCTCTGAGCGCGTGAGCTCTCCAATCTTTAGTAAAGGACGGACTCTCTGGCACTCTGAGCTATTGCAGCAATAGAGCAGGTTCCTCTTGCGCATCAACACGCTGAAGTTGTTGGCGCCGTCGTGGTGATTGCCGTATGGGCAGCGTCGAGGGCCGTCCACTCGGAACACGTACATTGGCCCGTTGACGCCCACCTTGAGGCGATCAAAGCGGGAGGCGTTGTCACCAGTAGCCGCCACGCAAGCTTTGACGCGCTCCAAGACTGCTGCTGGGGGGGTCTGCTGAGACTCTTCGATCTCGCGAGGAGGTCCAAAAGATGTAGTCTGCGACTCGCTGCAGAATTCAAAAGAGTGAATGTTGATTGAAACCGAGTTACATGATTTTCTCAAGCTTACGGGAGTGGGGACAAGTGGGATGAGACAACTCAGACATCCCGGTGAAAGCGAGTAAACACGTAACTAGAGGGAGAGACACAGAGGTATGCGAGCGTTTCAAATTTTCCCTGCTTTTCGTCTCAATGGTGTGCGCCGTGTCACGTTTATGGCACACGGGTTGGACAGATCAGGTGTGTCATGGCCAACTTTGCTTCGCGGACACCAAACCTCAGTTCCAAAACGTTCTCCCTTACACTGGACAGATCGTCCAACTAACTGGGCCGAGCTGTTCACTCGATTGAAGCACTTTACAACAGTGGCTTGATGACATCATCAGATTGCAACCGAAAACTTTGTTCTAGAGCTTGGACAGTTCGGACAGCTTGGACAGCTCAAATAGGCCCTACTCGACTTCGGGGTGCCCAAACTCAAAAACGATATTTTGAGTGGCATATGAGGCATTGAGGCAGATTAACGTACCTGGCTTTGCCCCCCTCCCGAGGTACCTTGACACCCCCGCTTGTTGCCTCGCTGTCGTTGTTCAGGATGGAGATGAGCCATTCTGGCACGGCTCTGAGACTGGAGCGGTCAGGCAAGATCTCCTGGTCCCATTCGTAGCGCCGCAGTGTGCTATCAAGAGCCGTATAGGTGCTGGGTGCAGTGTACAGCATCCCCCCCTTCCCGCGCACATCGATGCCCACCGCTTGACCCTTGTAGCGAATTCGGGCTCTGTTGCAGCAGTTGCGCAGGCCAGCCTGCTCGGACTGGGAGAGAGAAAAGAGGATGTGCAGCCCCCCGTTCCCGGTGGTTAGGCGGGGCGTGTCTTCTAAGAAATTCTCGTGCTCTTCAAGCATCTGCTCGAGCGCTTCAAAGCCCCCGTCCTTCACATCCACATCAAGAGCATAGATGTCTGACACCTCTGTAACGATGGCAATAGAGTTGCGCCCCGGCTTGGCAAATTCGGAAAGGCAGGTGCTGAGGTTTGCCTCTTTCCAGGGTTTGGGGGACGCCCAGTGAGAGGGGGCTTTGCAGACTTTGCCGTTCTTTTGCAGCTTTTCCTGAAGGTCGTGGGTGACGGTCACTACGCCAAGGCCGTGGAAATAATGAGCAGCAGCGAGGATGGGGTCGATTGGCTGCGTCGGCTCAGCCCTTGATTGCGCCGGGGCCGTGGCTGCTGGGCTTGGTACCTGCAAGAGGAGGACCTCAATTGTTTCAGGATTTGCTGTTGGGGCGGTAATCGCACAGAACAAGTCACAAAGAAAGAGCTGCCCAGTTTCGGTGCCCGTCAAGAGACTATCCGCTCAACCTTGATTGATGTCTTACTTCCGTATCCTAGCGTGTCATCATCACAAGCTGCAGCAAGTTCTAGTGTGACCTAAAGACAATGTTGGCTCTAAGTACGTGACATGATCAGTAACGATCTCAAAGCCTACCATATTTGTAGGGAAAGCCCAATTTGTGGAAGCCATCTGTTGAGGGTCCGCGATGCGGGTTATTTCTAACGACGAAGCCAAGCGGCCGAGTGGAATCGGGTTGACCTGTAATCATGAAAGCATCTTGGCAAAACCATCATCAACTTAAGCAGAACAAAAAGGGGCTTGGGTCTTGAGATCTGTGAACACACCTGGGACGCAGGCTCCCTGCAATCGCACCCCAAATGGGGGTCAATGCGGCAGATGCTGAAGTATGCGCGCAGTTCCGTCCAATCACAGCCATCGTCCCAGTCCCATGTAGAGTCGTCGTGATCAGTACAGAGGTCGCCCCAGTCACTTGATGCAGCAGATTGATCCCCCCCCTCGGAGCCCAACTCATATGCTTCCTCTTCAGCTTCGGCTTCCTGACTGGACGAGGACACTTCCACCCGGCAACGACGCGCTAGACGATACTGCGCATCCCCATCTTGATCGCTTCCCACCCGGTTGCCCCGGTTGCCCAGCTTACGCACTCCCAACTGAACGTTTGACTCTAAATGCTCTATGTCCATCTGCATAAGCAAAAGACTTCGCAATCAGCTAGAAGCTACAAACACTGCTAACATCAGCAACTCCAAGGATCATACTTTTCTCTACAAAGCTTGGACAGCTCAGACACACTTGAATTAGGTCGAGGCAGTCAGCGACAGTGAAAGCGATGACGTCAGCACGCGGCCAACGCTGAATAGTTTATGCCAGACTTTGGACAACTCGGACAAGCTCAGAGAGGCCCTGATTGAATTGACGCAATTGACGCTATTAATTGGCGCGCAAATGTACTTTGATATAGAGCTTGGGACAACTGTGCACAACAGACGCTGCTCGAGTTGATGCAATCATCTACAAAAGTCTGATGACATTAGCAAGCCCGACGGCACTGAGTACGTTTGAGACTTCAGGCAGCTTGGATACTTGATTTGTTGGATTTAAGTTCTCAATCACAGAAACACGTTAATCAGCTTCAGACTGTCAACAAGTATAGTAAAGCCACAGACTCAGAGCTTTCAGGCTGGATTGCTCAGCAGCGTCCATGCCAGGGAAGCTCATGGTAGCTGGCGCTTCTTAAGAAGACAGCACTGCTGTCAAACCGGGCTGGAACCCATAATGACAGGGCAGCTTTAAGGGGAGCTTTAAGGCTGGCTGCTTTAAAGCTGCCTTGAGAGTTTGAGCTGGTCGAAAAAAATCGCTTACAATGGAACGAAATTTGAGACAGCGAACTCACCAGATGATTTGTTACGGTTCTTCTCTCTTGTTCATCCACTGAACGATGGCCGTGGGCAGAATCCCTTGATGGTAGGCAATTGTCAAGCATCGTCCAACCCGAGTCACTTTCAGAGTCTGCACAAAGGCGCATCTAGACCTTTTATTTCCATAACCTGCCGCAAAACAGGCCTGGCCAGCTAATGGTGAAAAGAACCTTATTGTTTGTGTGGTGTTGCAATGGTCTAGCGGCAGGCTAAGCGATGCCAAATAATATGGTATGCTTTGCCAGCCTCATGAGCAGCTCCCTCCCGAACAGCTACCTGGAAACCTGAGCTGGAATAGTGAACAGTGGCAGAGGCTTGTCCGCATGCATGAGAAATGAAGGCTTACCCTGTGGCTTCAGCTCTAGCCAGTTTCTAAATACTTGCCATATGCCCAGTCAGCCCGTGCAGGGCGGCAGCGTATCTAGCATATCTAGCATATCTAGAAACAGGCTTTCGCTTGTAAGTCGGAGAGTGACACCTTTCGGTCTGGCGTTCGCTGTGGAGGTATGAATGCTGGCAATGAGAATTTACATTCGCAGGATTGAAATTTGTAGGCCGCAGTCTGCAGCCCGTCGGGACTTGTCCAGTCGCGAAGGCCAAAGAAGCGTCCACGTATAACAAGGAAACGCGCATACGTACCGAGCTCTCCGCAGCATACGTAGTGCAACGTGCGAGGCGGGATATTGGCCCTCAAAAGTGTCCACTCGGGGACAGACCCGGCCGGGAGAGACCCGTAGCGGAAGTTCCGAGTTCGAGGCGTCATGAATAATTTATGCGCCCGTGAACGTGAATCGGGGTTCGGAGCTATTTGCTGAAGAGCATTCAGGAATATTCGTATCCACTCAGAAACACCAGGCTCTTCGCTTCACTTTCCGTATTCGTAGGGGCAAATAAAAGGGCAATGGCAAATGCTGAGGAAGAAGTTCGTGGCAAAGGCTCTGCTCTGCCGTCCAACCTGAATCAGCCGGCCCTCATTCGGATTCTTCGAAGAGGCACCAATGAACGTCGTTCTCTGAAAGCACAATGCAGATGCAAAGCAGTTTTGGACTTCATCAGAGACAGGGCATGTTGGGGAGAAGGGGAAATAGCAATTTTGCAGAACGGCGAGGAGATTTCTTGTTTAGACGAAGAGGAGCTTCAGGCTGGTGATTATGTCTTCACAGCCTCTAAGGGTGAGTGACAATACCAGTATCTTGCATTTTCCAGATTGCACAAAGGTCTGATCAAGCACTTCGGTGAATTGGTGTCTGTTCAAGTGATGAACCAGCGTTTGAGCAAGTGGAAGAAAACGATGCGCTGGCCTGTTAACTCTGCCTGGTATGTAGTTGAGTATGCATGGTTTTTCTTGGCAGATTAAGGGCTTGATTCTGGTCATTTCTGAGCAACAGCACTCGTGCATGCCTGCAATTGGGCAGAGTGCCGGAGCTCGCTGGTTCATGGTAGACGCGGTGATCCACACCACCCCTCAAGTGTGTCGGTGCCAGTTTGGAGCATGTCCCTCTGCTTCCCGGGTTGTTTCACCCGTCAGGCCAGAACAAGATCACATAATCCTGGAGCTGGTGTTTGGTTTGGAAGTTGATCATCACAGCCTCTGATTGCGACAAGGCATTGCTCAACGAGTTTTTGGTCAGTCTTGGTGTTCTCGTAACAGTTTGCCCGCTGAAGGTCCTGTCAGGGTGGATAAAAAGATGTTCAGCGTCATCCGTCAAATCATGTTGCAAGCTTTATGCCAGCATCTTTCTATTGCTTGGGCTGAGGCAAGCTTGAAAGCTTGCTTGCCTAAGATCCACAAGGATTGCAACCACAATAATGACGACAAATGGACAGGAACAGTCTGTCAGGATGGCCGCTGCACATCCAGGAAGTTAGCAGATCGCTGAGCATGCCATCACTGTCAATTATCAAGGCCGACACTCCAAGGTATTTGAGTTGCCTGAGACTCTCGTCTGTCATTCTTTAAACATATCAGAAAGGAACCAGCGGCGCCCTCTGAGGATTTTGTTCCTAGACTGCTGCCTGCTGCTCCTCTTCAAAGATTTTGATGGTTGGCAGACCCTGCCAAATTGCACAGCGTGGGGAAGGCTGGCAGCCTTTTTTCATTCGAACATGCATCCGCTAACCCCATTCTCTCTTTGCCCCAGCTGCTGCACGAGGGGAAGGGACCGAGGGCGCGGGCGCTTCAGGGG